AATTCAAAATCAAAACAACATAAGTTCAAAAATACATAAAATATCTACTATAGTCCATACAACTTGAAACATCAAAATAAATATTAAATAATATAGTTTATCAGTAGAACAAATATAAGTTTCTAGAAGACTATCAAGCATCGGAGGGTGCCATTGCCACCCTGAAAATAATATGAAGTTAATGAGATATTAATAATCAAGAAAAATATAATTTATATTAAATTACTATATTTTTATCATATAATTTTAGATCCTTTAGGTGGTGGTTGATTCATTTGAAATTATTGCACAAATTGTCTCATCTCATCACGAAATGTGCCGAACTCCTCTCGTAGACTTGCTATTTGACCAAAGGTACTACCACTACCACTATCTGCTTAATTTGTACTTTGAGGAAAGTATCAGGTCGGAGTGACACCAAATCTTTGTGTATGAACTCGACCTGAATGTTCTGGTCACATTACTATGCTAAAGACTCTCTTATTAGCTTCAATGTTTCCCTCTTCAGTGTCAACCCGTCTTAGGCAAGAAGATTACATGCTTATGTTTACATTATAATTACATATAATTAAATCTTTTGAAGTACTAATTATAAAAAATAATTTATAATCACTATTTATATTTACCCATTGTTGCATAGCATCTTGAGATGACCAGATCCCATCTTTATGCATCATATTAATTTTCCATAATTGTAATCTATCCTTAATAGACTATAAAAAAATTATAATAAAAATGTAAATTTGTAAATTAAGCATTTAGTTATTATAATTAAACATTTAAATTCATATCGTTTCCTTCTATCTCCGAACTGAGCTCACATGACCCATTATGTGAGGACAAAATTGTTTTTTAGCATTCATAGAATTTTTGGCAGCCATTTCATGTGATACATTATAATGTTAAGTTAATAATTTTAAAATATTTTAACAAAATAGTTTAATCTCAATCTTCAATATTTACATAGTTATTTAGCTTTGACCATTGGTTAACAAGTTGACACCATTGCATTTAATCAACTCTAGCTGGAACAGTTTTCATAATTTCCTCAATTAGTCTAATGTTTCAATGCTCAACTTTTAAAGTGATTTTATAATTACGTCATTTAACACAATGGGATTGAAGAATCCAATGGCATATATGACTGGGAAACTCAACTGCAGCTGAAAATGTGATATGGTTAATGATATAAAACTAAAAAAAAAATTAATTTATAGTGAAATGAATATACATCAACTTCAGTCAACATCTTTTTCTTTATGGACTCAATACCCTTATTTCTACTATCACGAAAAGCTATTGGAGCCAAAATATGATCTCTTGCACTAACAACAAGATATGTTTCTAGCAAAATCGACTCAGGAATGTTACAATGGATGTTATTTTCATTTACCTATATATGAATTCGTGTTCCTCGTGGTATATTTTGTATATTAGCACATCACTATAGGAAAACAACTCATTTTCGGCGGAATTTCTGGGGAAAGTAAATTCGTCACGAATTTCGACGAATTTTTTGGCGAATTTTCAACCAAAAATTTCTAGCTAATTTCTGATAGACCTGTCAACAATTGATCCGACCCAAAAACCTGATCCGAAACCGACCCGAAATTTTTGGGTTCGGGTTGACCCGGTTAAATAACGGGTCGGGTTAGGGTCTGGAATTTCGACCCATTTAGTTATTCGGGTCGGGTCCGGGTTAACCCGAAAACCCGATTGTAACCCGATTCGACCCGCCTCACCCGCGACTTTAATAATTTGATATATAAAAATTAAAACTTAGGGCGTCACGCGTCAGTCAAGCCGCGAGCGAGAAGCCGTCTGGGGGTCATATTAATTTCGTAACTCTCGTCTCTCGTCTCATTCCGTCTCCTGGCATCTGTTTAGGGTTTCCGATTTCTCTCAGTTTCCGCCTCTCAGTCTCATCGGCACGACGGCGTCTACGGATACGCTTCACAGTTCACACATTCCCTAATCTGTTTCATTGTTTGTATCTCGTTTCTCATCTCTATTAGTATTTTTTGATAGTTTAGAAGATGAAGCCATGAAGGTTTTGATATTTTGTGTTCTTCATTTTATCATATTTTGTGATCTTCAATCCCGTATTCCGGTGGATTCTATTGCTCTGTTAGGGTTTATTTCGGGTCTTTCGGCTAGGGTTATAAAAATTTGTGCAAATATGAAATAATGTTGGCAAATGGCAACGGTGTTTAAGACTTTAAGTGATTAAGCAACATATTGATTTTTCTCTTACTCTCTAATTTAGCCCGATTTGAACTTTTGCTGATGCCAGAAGCTTTGAGTCGTTGAGGCAGTTAGGTTCTAATTTTTGACGGATTTTGGCCTTTTTTCGGTGGAAATTGCTGCCGAAAAATGACGTTTTTCCTGTAGTGCATGTTGTTCACCCTTACGCCTAATAGGATTTTCTTGCTCATCTACACAATTCAAAATAAATGAATAATTATGAATATCGTAATAATTTTGAAATAAAATGAATATCATAAAAAGAAAATCATACTTATGAGCCATACCCCCTCTTTAGGGTCGGTAAAATAAGTGATTCTTTGATAGCCAATGACGATGACTCATATATGAGAATTTCTTCCCTCTATGTAACCATAAAGACTGTATTTTTGGCATATCAAGGACAATCAAATTTACTTTTAGTGCCGCAAACAAAAATCATATCATAAGCAAGAAAATCATTGATCGTCCACATTAATGCAGCTCATAAATTAAAAGATTGTTTGGAGGCTGCATCATAGGTTATCACTTCATGCCATAATTCACACAACTCATTCATTAGCGGTTGGAGATATACAATAATATTATTTCCTGAACTCTTCTCCCCTGGTATAATAGTAGACAAAATGAAAGATAATTGTTTAATTGCAATCCAAGGAGGCATGTTGTATGGAACCAAAAGTACTGGCCAATGTTGTATGTACTACTCATAATCTTGAATGGATTAAAACCATCGCTTGCTAATGGGTGATGAACATTATGTGGATTTGAAGAAAAATTAGGATATCTGGAGTCAAAGGATTTTCAGGCTTCTCCACAAGCTGGATGTTGTAACAACTCATCTATATTTCTCTGTTTGGCATAATAAATCATCTCTTCAGCTGACGTTTTTGTTTTAAACAATCTTTGAAGCTTAGGAATCAATGGGAAGTATCGAACAACCTTGGCAGACTTCATTTGCTTTTTCTTTCCTCTAGTTGAATTTTTTTATCACCTGTCCACCGTGAAGAACCACAAATATGACATACCTCTTTATTGGATATATTTTTTCCAAAATAGACAACAATCATTTGGACATGCATCTATCTTTATATATCTAAAATTGAACACTTTCATAATCTTTTTTACATCTATCTTTATTAGGTAGCAATGAGCCAGTAGAGAAAGCTTCAATCAATAACTCAATCAATTGATCATAAGATCTTGCAGACCAAGAGTGTAAGCACTTTAGGTGAAATAAATGTAAGATGAAGGATAACTTTGTGAATAGCTTACAACCAGTGTATAATTTTGCTCCTGCTTCCAATAATAAATCAAAAAATTTGTTCTGAATCATCATTTGTTAGATCTATGTTGCTTTCATTATGTTCAATATCTAAATTGGCATTACCTGTGCAGAATGTGTCCCTTGACAATCCTTCTATATCATTTGTTATGGGTTGCTCGCTTTGAGTTTGCACTTCATTAAGATTATCAATACTGGTAAATGTTTCTAATCTTATAACTTCAACTATAAAAGCATGTTCCTCCCCATGTCGATTCCAAACAACGTATCCAGGGGAAAATCCTTTAGAGAGTAAATGGAACTTGGCATCTTTTATATTATGAAAATATATGTTAATGCATAATTTACATAGACATAAAATTATCTGGCTGTGTGTTGGATCTTCGTACAAGGTCAAGACGTTAAACTTTATATTTCTCTACCGCCACAAATATTCTAGGACGAAACAATAATACTAAAAAAAATTATTCTAAAATTTATTCCTCTAAAAGGTCTCAAATTCTAGGCATGACATACACTATGAAGAAATTCTCATGTTATTTTCTATTTAAAATTTTAACTGATTTTTTATCTTTAGAATTCAAAAATTTTCTTGCGATCTTCTAATCATTAATAAAAATGATTTAAGATATATTTCTATTAAAAAAAACTCAGATTTCTTGATAATCTATACCCGCAACGACCATTCCTATAGCACCGCAATGACCATTCCTACAGTAGATCTGTAAATTATGTTAAAAAAAAAAAAAAAAATCCAAAGGCCTGAAGGCTAATTATGTAAAATTTGATTGCATCCAATGCCAATTTCCCCGGACTGCAGATCCTAACGTGCAAGCAAGCCCAGCGACGTCCTCTCATTCTCCTTTGATCCACCACCACCCAATAATTACCTCCTCCTCCATCCGACACGCTTTCAAAATATAAGGCCGAGATATAAAAGTCGCTAAAATAGAACAAATATAGTACGCCAAATAATAATAATAATTAATATCATTTTCTCCCCCTAAACCCTGCTGCTTTCACTGCACCACCCCAGGAACTTTTATTACGTCCGGTGTAAGGACGTAGAGGAACGTCCGGTTGGAAGTAAAATCCTGCCAAAAAACTCGGTATTTACTTGGTACAACTAGGTATTATTTGATATTAACGAGAAATACTGCTCTTTGAAGATCAATACCGAGTTATACCGAGCTGTACCGAGAAATACCGAGTTTTTCTAGAAAAAACTCTGTACAACTTTTGTATAACTCGGTATTTCTCGGTTTAGCTCGGTATAACTCGGTATTGAGTCTTCAAATGATGGTATTCCTCGTTATTGTTTAATATTGCTCGGTAAAACTCGTTTTTTGGTGGGATTTGACCTCCGATAGGACGCAGGACGTTCCTCTGCGTCCGATCGGAAGACGTAATAATTGTTACCACTCCAGAAGCAAAGATAATAGCAGAACTACACTCCTCCTTTCTTAAAAGAAATGTTTTACTTTGTCCCAACAGTACTCATGCTATTGCCTATATATATTAAACATCTAACTGTTCGATCTATTGCCTAGACAGAGAGAGAGAGAGAAGTAGATCGAAGAGAGAGAGAGAGAGATGGAGGATTTTAAAGGGCTTTGGCACTTGCTCGTCTGTGCCTTTCTCTTTTACTTCGCAAACTGCATCGTGATTCCGTCTATCACAGACGTCACCATGGAAGCGCTTTGCCCCAGCGAAGACCGGTGCTCACTCGCCATTTATCTCACTGGTTTAACGCAGGCTGTAAGTTAATTCTTTCATATAAATTAATCATCATTTTTTTATGAGGTTTGGCATCTCTAATTTTCTTTGCAATTTTTTTCTTCTCTTCGCAATCTCTCATAAATTTCCATACTGTAGACCTTATCAAATGGTAAGCCAGTGAGCTGCAAAGTTAATATTAACTTAACTGTTCTTAATTAAGTTGCTAATTAGCATCATTAACTTCATGCAGTATTCACTAATTGAGTAAGAAAAACTATATGAAGAACAATTTTATATGGGAGAAAACACTAATTACATTCAGTGGAAAATGTTCCCAGTGATTTTACTGTAAATTACCAGATGAAAGTTAGATGAATGATTACTGTTAATTACCAGTTGCAAGTTAGATGAATGAGGTAGACCCTAAATTATTTAAGATATTCGGAACAAATTTGATTGCGATATATAATAGAAAAAAGAAAAAAAAAATGATTGCGATTGATTTTGAAAATTTTAAATTTATTTTAATGTGTAATTTAATAGATAAATAAGTATTTATACATTATATTTTTCTTAATAAAAGTTAAATTTTAAAAATTCATCTTAATCAAATTTTAATCAAAATATTATGATCTAAATTTTATATATGATTAATAAAGAATAAAAAGTTATATTAGAAGCAAATTAAAATATATTTTAATCAGAATATTGAGACAAATGATTAAATTAAAAATTACTTATTTATTAACTATGATATAATTATTTAATATTACAAAACAACGCTCAAATTGACACCTTGCATGTATTTTTATTAAATTTTATTATTTATTATTTATTTAACATTTCTGACAAAATATCTATTTTGGAGTACTATAATTCCAATAATTAATATAAGACAGAAGTTCCTTTCTTTCATGTTGACTAAGTGCATTAATATTAACGCGCGTACACTAACCTATATTCTGTTAAAACATTATTGTGTAAGTAGATAATCTCTAATATAATATGTGTAGATTAAAAATAAATACAGCATTAAACTTAATTCAATTTAATTAATTAAAAAAAATTTGTAGAAAAACATAAATTAAATATTCACCATAAACAATCTATTTAGACAAAAAAAAACAAATAATTTTTTTGTAGAAAAACAGAAATTAAATATTCACCATAAACAATCTATTTAGACAAAAAAAACAAATATAAATTAATATATATTCTATTTTATATATTTATTTATGTGAATACAATGTTATAAAAAAAATTAATTTATGACCACTTCAAAATTTTCATGTAAATACTTTTTTATTACTTATATTATATTTTTTTTATTTTCTCATAAGCTAATTATTTAATTTGCTTCAGATCACTGGCTTGGGAACTTTCTTAGTGACACCTGTGATTGGAAATCTATCAGACAAGTACGGTCGGAAGTCCATGCTCACTCTTCCTATGACAGTGTGTATCATCCCCTTAGGTAATTATGTCCACATAAAAATTTATTAAAGAAAATTATTATTATGTTGATTTTTTTAATTTGTTATATATATAAGATAATAAAAATCTTACAATTTATAATATTTATTTTTTATATTCTGAAAAATTAAATGATTTTTTAAATTAAATATTTATTTTTTAATATAAATAACTAAAGAATCATTATTGCATTGATCTTTTATTTTATTTGATAAACGGCTTTTATAACAGTTAAACAAACTATATTTAAAATAAATTTTAATATTTTTAATTGTAGATTATATTTTTTACCGTTGAAAGCAAAAAAATTATCTTAATTGTCAAGCAAAAGATTAATGTAATCAGTAAAGTTAGCTAGAAAGTAATCTAGAAGGTCATGGTGTAAACTGTAAAGCGTCCTGATTCACTGCCGACCATTTTATCAAAGTCGGTGCGATAGATTTCCAGTGAAGGAACGAATAGAAGGTTGATTTTATAAATCTGCTTTTTACATATTTGTCTGGAAGCCAAAAAAGCAAAGGCAAGTTTGGGAGAGAAGGAAGTGGGCAAAGCACTAAGTCACCTTCCAATGGCATCTCGCCATCTCCTTTGCTTTGGGAGCCTTCTAATCCTTTAATAATAAGTGGAGATTTGTGCACAAAGTGGATAACGAGAGAAAACTGTCCAAAAAGGGGAAAAGTGAAAATGAAATTTAGGATTAGTTTGAAGTAGTTGCAATTTTTTATAAAATTAACTTTAAAATTATTATTATAAAAAACTCTTTTAATTGAAAAAATGTTTTATTACACAAATTTTTAAAAATAATAACTGAATGAATTTCATCGAAAAAAAGCATATTTTGCAGTGCTGTCGATTTTTCTAGAGGAAAAGTCACAATCTGTAAAAAATTAATTTCAGTTTCTTCTTGGATTTTTCTGCAAAAGTTGTATTTAGGATTATTTTTATTAATTTACTTAAGATTAAAATATTTTTAAGAAATATATATATAATTTGTTTACAAATCTTTATGTTAATTCCACACTTTATTAATTTTAAATTACTTTCACCTTTATTATCTTAGGTCGAAATGAAGATATATTTATTGTTTTCTTTTTCTCTAATATATAATCTACATTTTTTTTTGTTGGTAGAAATCATTTTTCATTAATAAGAAAGAAAGAAATACGGAAAATAAAAAGCTTAACTATTGCAGTTATATTGGCATTTGGTCGAGGAAGGCCCTTCGTTTATGCCTACTACGGCATTAAGATGCTTACTGGAATGTTTTGTGATGGCACCATGCTATGCCTCACCCATGCTTATGTGGTAAGCTAAGCTACCTTTTTCATTTTATTATTATTATTTTTTTACAATATTAATGAACATTGTGTATACTGTAAGGATGTCAAATGATAAAATATAAGAGTGAAAATAGAAAATAAACAAAGATGAGAGCATTTATTGAATAAGGTTCTGTTTGAGACAGTTTAATGTTTTATAAATAAATAATTTCATAGTCAAAGGGGAGTGATCAACACAGACTTGAGACTTCTTGATGCAGCGGCAAACAGTAGAAGAGAATGAACCGAAGGGAAGGGAAGGGCAATGGAACAGTAGAGTTCCTTGCAGCTAAATAGTATTACTGTGTTAAAATTAGATAAGCTAAGTTTTTCTAAGCTTCTAAAGCCATATAAACTAAAGAAAACGAAAACCGTAATTAGAAAGAGCAGCTGAAAAGTAACTAGTCCTAGGCATAACAGAAAAAGGGAATTCTCAGAGAATAATGGGTAGTGGTAGTCCTCTTAGCTCCAATGCTCCGCCAGAGAAGTGTAGCCTATCTGATGTCCGCATCAGTCCTCCCCCGACTCCGAAAAACCCGACTCCGACGAGGTGGTAGTAGGCTGTGCATCATCAGGAGGATGAAAACTGTATAAGTCTGCAAAGTTGAAAGTGGACGCAGTGTGAATATCTGCGGGTAAGTCAATCACATAGGCATTGTTGTTGATCTTGCTAAGTATAGGGAAGGGCCCTATCTTCCTGGGACAGAGCTTGGAATACATTCCTTGTGGATAACGCTCTCGCCGCATCCGAAGCATTACTAGATCTCCCACGTTGAATGACTTAAACCGGCGGTGGCTATCAGCATTTTGCTTATATTTGTAGTTGGCCTTTTGCAGATTTTCCTTGACAGTCCGGAGAGTGTCCTGAACTTCACTAATTGTTTTGCTGGCTAAAGTTTTGTTGCCTTTAGGTAGAATGGCGAGGTCTACCAATTGGTTGGGAATTTTAGTGTAGAATACCTAAAATGGGCATAGTCCAGTAGATCTATTGAAGGACGCATTATAAGCAAACTCCAAATGACATAGCATTTCTTCCCATTTCTTGTGATTTTACTGCACCAAACATCTCAGCATGTTCTTAGTACGGGACGAATTGAAAAAAATTGTGAAGAATCTGTCAATTTCGTCTGGACGAACCTGTAAGGGTCGAACCGAATAGATAGCATCGTCCAGGGACGAAACAAATTGGAATTAATTTTCGTCTGTACGATCCGTGTCCAGAGGAGTTCGTCCCGGGACGATCTGGGCATCGTCCTGGACGATCCTGCTTGATAAGTATCGGATTTGAGATATTTTGAATCATTTGAAGAGAGAGAAAGAGAAAGCAAGAGAGAGAAAGAGAAGGAAAGAAAGGAAAAGAGCTTGGTTTTGGAGCCCACGGAGCGCTTTTCGTCCGACGACGCAGTTGGAAGATTTGTTTGTCTCGAAGTAAGGAATCCGAATCCTATTTCTGACTTCAAAGATTTCAAATTTTGATATTTCTATGCTCATATTTGTATTTCCGTTACCAAAAAACGCGCATAATTTTGTATTGACGAAAGTTTTACCGCACAACTTTTGATATGTTTTTGATATGATATTTTTACAAGATTTGAGTATTGTCTGTAAAGTTTCTATCGGTTATTTTGAGTTATGTGCGATTTTTATCGAATAGAAAATTATCAGTATGTTGAAAAATGTTGCTTTAGTACGATAAAAGTCTTATTTTGTTATTTTCCATGATCTGTGGTAATTTGGTAAATTTATGAATTTGTGATTTCTGTGTACATTCCGTGTACTGCCGTTATGCCGCCGATTTCTTGTACGACTTCTGATTTTCTGAATTGATGATTTGAATGATTGAATATGCATACGAATATGGATATATGATTGATATATTGTTATATTACTGAAAAACAAGTGAAGACTGGTTGAACCGTTGGTTGGAGATTGACTTGACCTGTACATGATGGTGGGCCGACGGGCTTTCCTTTAAAAAGGGTTTGATGTTATCCTCTATTGATCATTGATATAACGATTGGGAGTCATAAGGAGATTATTATGCCAACGGGTGGCCGACGGGCACAAAGTGACGACTCTTATTGAGCCAACAGATATATTTATGGATTTCTACAACAGCACTATGAATTTCTACAACAGCACAATGGATTATCGACTCGAAAAATGCCTTAATAGCCAGTGATTGTACTTGTTCAATAAGACTATTGTATTGAATTGCATGTGTACAGTATTGTCCTTATGATCTCATTATGGATTTTATTGACATTAACTTGTATGGATTTCCTGATATGAATTGATCTATTGATTACTGATTGATTTATTGATTACCCTACGCATGATTGATATCGACGGATTTGTATTGAAATTTATTTATTGACGGATTTATTGTTACTGTACGATTTCATTGATATTGCATGTTATTCATGTCACTAGATACTGGCACCGATATGGATGTGGATATTGTATTGATTCATGGATACCGACACCGATATGGATATTGATATTGTATTGATTCATGGATACAGATATCGATATTATTGATTTATCGATATTATGGATTCATTGATTCATGGATACTATTGATACTACAGATATTAATACCGATACTACTGATCCACTGATACATTGATTCATTGTATTGATTCTTATAGCACGTGATTATTTATAAATTGATTTGATTGATTTATTGATTTGCTTGATTGTTGATTTATTGATTTGATTGATTATATTGATACGATATTGATTTAATGATTATTATCGAGACGACGATTTTCCTCTATCGATTTGATTGGATTCTTACGAGATTTATCGTATGTACTGATTCATGGAGCTTTATGGATTTCTTCCTACTGTTTATCGATTTTTTTACCGATGATTTTGGATTGTATCGATCATGCATTGATTACTGATTTTTCGTATCTGCTGCATAGATTCACTGATCATGTGCAACTGATTGTTATGGATTTGATGGACTGACATGCATATTGTTTCAGTACCGTACTTTGATTTCAGTTGTAGGCTTTGGTGACCTGCTGAGCTTTTTGAAGCTCATTATATGTGGTTAACAATTTCAGGTCAGAGCAAGCGAGCAGAAAGTTATGGTTGATCAAGACTGTCGACGAATCCTTTCATTATGGATGCCTGGGGAGTCACAGGTGCAGAGCTGAGAGTGGCCTTTATCAACTCAAAACTCTGTTGTTGATCCCGCCCCTATGAAAATTTTGAGGACTTTAGACAATTGGTGATGGGTGCCGTGATCTCCCCGAAACCTTTGATGAAACGTTGGTAGTAATTGGCCAAATCATGGAAGCTCCTCACTTCCGTTATGGACTTGGGCGTCGGCCAATCCCAGATTGTAAGCATCTAAAGCACTTAATGTTGGACGGTTTGGCATACGGATTATCTTGGCCTCCAGTTACCCGCAGCCAGAAAGGTAATTTGTCTTCTCCTGTCAATTTCACTTATATTGGTCTCACAGGATTCGAGCTAGATGCAAGATCCTTGGCTTGAGTTCCATCGGTCTTATAATTCCCTGAATTAGCCTCAACGAAGGTTCTTCGAGCAGCTATTGGCTTATACGATCTTTGTAATTGGACTTCGGCCTTAAGAGCGAAGTTCACTGCCTGGGAAAGTGTCCACACCGAATTGAGTTCTAGTTTGTCCCGAACTCCTTCCTTCAAGCCGCCGGTGTAACGTGCGACCAGTTGATTTTTCGATTCCAAAAGATTATTGCGGGCGCTGTGCCTATAAAACTCCTTTGTATACTCACTGACCGAGCGATGTCCCTGCTTGTAGTGCTGGTATTGAATGTACAGAAGCTGCTCGAAATCCGTGGGTAGGAAATGCTGCCTCATCAATTGCTTCATGCGGCTCCAACTCCGCACAGCTCCTCTGCCTTCGCGTCGGCGGCTTTGGAGTACTTGCATCCACCAGGCGCTCGCTCCCCCCTTTAAGCGGCATGCAACATATTTTACTTGTTTGGCCGGCGGGATTTCCATGTACTCGAAGAAATTTTTGACCGCCGCTTCCCAAACTAAGTAGTCTTCTATATGCAGTCTCCCTTTAAAAAAAAAAAGGAATATTAAGTTTAATGCGCATACCTTCGTGTTCGGCTCTCATCGAACGTGGCCTTCTCATTCTATCTGCTCTCGGTATCGGGAATTCCTCCTCCGCATTCGATGGTTCTTCTTTCAAAATGGCTTCAAACTCTGAATCTGTAACTTCTGGGCATACAAGAGGACCCCGTCTCGGAAGGGTCTCTCCCTGTAAATGTCTTATGGGCGCCGGTATGGTTGCCGGAAATGCCGGGTGAGCTACTGGATTGATAGCCGCCCTTACTTTCCGCATTTCATCGTGCATTTCGTCCGCGAATCGTGCAAAGTTATTGATGAGCTCCTCCAATTACTTGGAGGTTTGCTTTTGCGTTTCCCACAACGCCTCCAAGCTCCGATCGCCGTCGGTCCTGGGTCAGTTGCTCTCCTCCATTGATGCCGGCACTAGCTCTGATACCAGTGATGATGCAGCGACAAACAGTAGAAGAGAATGAACCGAAGGGAAGGGAAGGGCAATGGAACAGTAGAGTTCCTTGCAGCTAACTAGTATTTGTAAAACCCTCGATCAGAATGTCAGACGAATCCTTTCACTATGGATGCCTGGGGTGTTACAGTATTACTGTGTTAAAATTAGATAAGCTGAGTTTTTCTAAGCTTCTACAGCCATATAAACTAAAGAAAACGGAAACCGTAGTTAGAAAGAGCAGCTGAAAAGTAACTAGTCCTAGGCATAACAGAAAAAGAGAATTCTCAGAGAATAATGGGTAGTGGTAGTCCTCTTAGCTCCAATGCTCCGCCAGAGAAGTGTAGCCTATCTGATGTCCGCATCACTTCTATCTTTGTAGTTAGAAGGCTTATGTAACAATATATAACAATTTGATTATAAGTGAGAGTAATTTGGTGCACATAAGTTACAATCTATATGGCGCCAATTCGATATCAATTGCAGGGTGGTTGTAAAGTGGAATGATCTTTCAAAACAAAGGGGTTGTTTGGTAGCACCCAGGATTTGATTTAAGTAGGATTTCGTAAATCCGTATTTCGAAAATTCTGAGGGGTCTAAATCCTGTAAATTGTTTGGTAACATTTATGATAAATCCAGTGTGACTGTTTGGCTATAGTGCGGATTTAACGAGCGGACTATTCCTCTCGAGTCAATTGATTTTGTAAATCTGACAAAATAAAAAAAAAAGATTTCAGAAATCTGGGATTTAGGATGAAAAGGTGGAATTTTTTGTATATGGTAGCTTTCATTTGCCGTGAGATTTGGTTTTGCATTTTAGGTCATTTGGCTGGATTTCGCTCAAATCTGGACTAAATCCTACTATCAAACAGCCCCAAAAGGTATTCATCTGTATTCAACCACCCTAACTAGCATAAGCCAAGTCTTCCTAAAAGAAAATGATTGTATTGTCAAGAAAAGGAAATAAAACTTTTGATATAGATGATAGAGCTATTTTAGATAGCATGATATTCCTCTTGAGTTGGTTGACAATCAATATTAGTAGCTATCAAGCAAGAGGAGTTATCATGGCTCAAAAATGTGATAATGGTTGAAGAATATAGAAACATTCTTAAAGATAATCTTTTTGAGCCATTAAAATTCTCAATTATATTAATTTTAATAGTAATTTGAACAATAAAATGTTTATATAGAAAGACTGTTGTGATATTCAAACTCAATAGCTCGTTTTAGTGTTGCGGAAAATGTTCACATGAATTTTTAATTTCCTTACGAGAGATTTAACATGCTCGGCAATCTCCACAGGCTGACAAAACATGCGAGCGGCGACGGATCTCGGCGTTCGGTGTACTCTCCGGCATCTGCACCGCTGGATTCGTATCAGCAACCCTAACCGCTCGCTTCGTACCGACCTTCCTCACCTTCAAGATCTCTGCTGCCGTGGCCATTTCAGCAATGCTGTACCTGAGATTCTTCCTTGCTGAAACGGATGGAGGAGCTTCTCTCGCCGACGAATCCTGCCGTCCCCTCTGCTCTCCTTCCCCGCTCTCGGATTCTGAATCACCTGCAAAGCTGCCGATCCTTGGGAAGGTCTCATCGCTGTTGGATATGGTTAGCCTTTTCAGAAGTAGGTAAGTAGCAATTCTCGATTCCCGTCTTCGTCTTTGATAGCTATTTCGATTCATTTTAGTGAGTTTTATATTCTATAACTTTTCTAAAACACAAAATAAAGAAAAGAATGAAGTGAATATTCAAAGGGCTGTCTGGCTTAAGAGGAATTGCTCATGTAGGATTTAACAAATTCAGTTTCAGTAAAACTTGAGAGGATTAATTCCTGAAAACTGTTTGACATGAGAACTATTAAATCTTACTAAAACTAAGTTTTGATATATTGTTTGGCTATTTGCTTCGGAATTCATGATTGCCAGAAAAGAAAATTTGAAACTATTAATCCTGTAAACAATGTTACATAATAAATCATGAATTTTATCAATAACTATATGTATTAAAAAAGTAGAATTTAGAGTCACCAAAATTCTGTTTGGTAGGATTTAAGCTAAATATTGCCTAAAAATAAGATACCAAACAGCCTTTAAGAATTTGACGAGTAAATACTCTACTTGTCATAGATTCTGCCATCACTCATCATTCAATCTTCAGTTTTATATCAAATTACTATAGATTAAAATAGTTGTTGATAGCAGTTCTTCGAAGAGGTCATGGTATTCATCAGAGCAAACTCTCTAATCTTTAACATTGTAAATGGTTAGTGGCAGAAATTACTTTCAAAATCTTGTCCAGAGATGAACAACCATTCTGCTGAATGAAACTCCGACGCATTTAATGTCGAAATGTATGGTTTGGTGGCTCATATGTAGAACAAAACTATTTGAAAGATATTCACTGATTTCATGATTACTTCGATTATTTGGGCATTGTGGCCATAAAATGACGTTACCTTAGAGCAATGAGGTGAGCGTATCATTGAAGGCAAGGGCACAATTACTTTTAAAGGAAAATTTTCAATTGGTGCAGATGAAATGGAAAATCCTTTAACACATGACAGTCATGGTCTGTTATGGTATTGGTTTTCATTTACTGTGACTGAAACAGTGAGATTACCACTGGGAAAACAAACCTTAATTCATATCCACATTTAAACTGTAGGAGTTGGACTGTTCTTCATTATATTTCTTAAAAAGAAATCCTCTTTTTTTCACCCCTTTCCATTGGGCTAAAATTTGTGCTGAATACTTAGCTCTGTTATTCATGCTCGTGCAGCTTGATACTGTCACGAGCAGCTGTTGTTGCATTTATTGATAGCTTTGGTTCAAGTGGTTTACAGGCTTCTATACTGGTAACTTACTCCTTTTTAGTGTTGTATTCCTGCAGTAATTAAGATTTTCTCTGCCTATTTTATTGTTACTTTTTGTTACAAGGTTTTAGGTTTGTTACTCCCCATCTAAATTGCTTTCATTTCTCAAATTATAACCATCTTAGGAACAATAGAAAAAGACTTTAGGAGCAAGAGATGAATTAATCTACGTATTTGTAATAAACTTTTTATCAGAGTTTTCTTTTGGTGCAATATTGCTGTCTTTTTTTCCTAGGCCATCCACTGTATCTTATGTGTACTCAACTTTCCCTTTATAGAGAATAAATTTCTCGGTATGCATTTCTACTTTATAAAGTTTGATGGTTTATGCAATATTCTATAGTTTTTTATAAGAAGTTTGCAGTGGTAGAATTACATAAAAGATTGAATAAATAAATTTCCTTGTGACAAGAACATTGATTTTACTAGTCAATAATTCTCGTTATGCTGATATTGTAGTTGCATTTTGCATGAGGCAGTTTTGCAATATGTGATAAATTTGGCATGAGTCAGTTTTAGAGTATGTGATGATTAGAACTTCCATACCTATTATCTCAAAGTTAATTTTGCATCGATGGAAAAAGATTTTGAAGTAGATGTAAATTATCTGTGGGCTGTTTGAGTGTATTGAATATGAAATACAGGTATTTTAAAAATTTTAGTGTTTGGTTGGAAGAAAAGCAAATTTGAAATAAATTTTTGGTGTACTTGATACCACTAATAGGCCATTTTTGTGTATTCTGGATTCACTCCAGTTGGAAGAATTTGGAGCACACCATGTGATGAAGCAATGACATGTTCCATCTTGACTTTTGTTTCCAAAACCTCACTATACATCCACACCCACGACCTAATGTGGACCGCACTTCTGCTATATCTAGGTTGCTTGTGATCACACATGTAACCTCTGATCCCACCGATGACATGCGACCTTGCCAACTATAAGGTTTGGATTCACTTTACAGCTATAATGCACAGACACAAATACGACAACACAAATATGACACAACACGGACACGAGACATCAATTATTGAAAATGTAGGATACGAGCACGACTTGGACACGGTATTATAATTTTATATTTTAAAAATAGTGTATAAAAGTTGAATAAGTATAATATTAAAAGTAATTTAGAAATAATAATTCATTTAATTAGAATTTATGCTTAAAATAATTAATATTATGATGTCGAGAGTTGGGCATCAATGTCATGTCTCAGGCATCGAAAGAAGAGATGAAAATGCTGTCGAGAGTCGGACATTAATGTATGCAGTAAGTATCGAGCGTCGATGTCGAGAGGGCATCTCTCATCGATGTTGAGAGGGTGTTGAGTCATCGATGTTAAGATAACATTGGATAAAGATGAGCTATCAAATTTGTGGGTATAGAAATGACTAGCGTCGAGCATCAATGTAAATACATTATTAGACTTTGATGTTGAGATGATTTTGAAATGCTGATGTTGTAATGGCGTAAGACATCGATGTTGAGATGACATGGGGCATTGTTATGAAACCAAAGTTGCGACCCTCCAAATAGAAATGAAAATGTGAATATTCGATGAATCAGGTATTGAGTGCGGACAATTGATTTGATGTTGTGGAGAGGAAATAATAAATTTAGTTTTTATATTTTAAATAAAAAAAATTAAATACAATAAATTATATTGAAAGAAATTTTGTAAAATATTTAAGACATACGTGTCAAATTTGTATTTAATATTTTTTAGGCAGATACTTTTTGGCGTGCCTTACACTTATCAGAAGAGTGTCGGACGCGTTTCGTGTCAGATACATATCGGACACTACACGCCTCTTTGAAGAAAAGTGTTGGTGCATCATAGCTTTATAGCTATCAAACACCAAAAGTGATCTAAATTTTTTTACAACCAACCAAACACCAAAAAAAAAGTATTTCAAATATATTGAGTTTACTTCAAACTATATTTAATCTAGATAATTGCAAACAACCCTTAGTTAAATTAACATTAAGACCTCATGCTTCTTTTGATGAGGACATCATCAGCGATTTCGACACGTGTACCATCGGAGACGTCGGAGATCGACGGCCACGATCAGGAGTTTTATTTTAAGTCATTTTATGTAGTAGTCTATTTTAATTTTTCAGTTTTTCCGCTTTTGCCCTTATGGGTAGTTGGTCGCCATTGTAGCCCACGGGGCATTTTAGTCTTTTATTTTCTTTGTCATTTTGAGACCTATATTTATGGTCATTTTCTTATGTAAGAGGATGATTATTTTGATAATGAAATTTCATATTTCCTTGTTCTCTTAGTGATACGAGAAGGAGAGGGATCTCTGTGTGAGTTCCTAAAATTCCAAGATCTCTTTGTGAGTTCTTGAGAAGGCAACATTTGAGGTTGGTAATTTTCCCTAGATCCCAAATCCTTTCCCCTATCCTCCCCAAGCCGAAAACCCCTCATTTTTCCACCCACCCGCCGGCAAGCTTGGCCCCCAAAGCCACCGGGCACCTCCACTCACCGTTGGCCTCCAGCCGCCAGCCTCCAGCCGCCGGCTTTCCTTTGCCACCATCCACCCGCCATAACCCCTCCTCCGTCCCCTCCATATTTCCCTCATTGCATCTGATTAGTTTCCTTCCTAATTTGGAGAGGTCACTTGGAGGGAATTTCAAATCCAAAATTCAAATTTGCATTAGGAGTTAAATGCCCCCTCAATTTCCTCCCTTTAATTAAGGAATTAATCGCAGCTTTAAATATGAAATTTAATTTCAGATTTAAGGATTAATTCACTTAATTGGGGCTCACTTATTTGAAATCAAACCCCTCTCCCTCCCTCTCTCCTAGGCTGGCCCCTCTTCCTCCTTCCTTTGCCTAATTAAGAGCCAACTAATGCTCCTAATTAACTCCCTCATTAACTCAAAAATTTCCCTCCACAAATCCCTCATTTCAAATTCAAATTTTGATTGGATTAGACCACATTTAAAAGCAAATAAATTCCGAAAATCTGAACCAATTTCAGATTTTCAAAATTTCTAGTCTATTTCTTCTCCTAGCCGCCTCACCTCTCTTCTCCTCTCCCTACCCAAGGCTCCACATCCCTCATCCCTCTCCTCCAACCAACTTCAACTACCTCCCTTTCTACATTGATTTCATGGAGATGGATCCGGATTTAAGTTCCGTAATTATGCATGATCAAGAAGGTTCCACTGACGTACTCTTTCCTCAACCTTAATTCGGAGATTAAAGATTTCGTGGACAGCTACGACTACCAGAATCTCTTCATAATTCCTCCAGTCATTGAAGAACGATTACGACAGATATATTGGCTACTCACGGGACAACCTCCTCATCCTCCACCACCGGCTACCTCTCCAACGGACTACACCTTGGGCGTCATTTGTCTCCTAGTGACATCGCTCGGTTTGCTCTCAATCTTCCTCCGTTAAAGCTCCACCGTCAAGAGCATAAGTGAGGGACCCAAGATGCAGAGTTCTCTTTGTTAATTGTGGATTATTGTTTCTCACCATAACATTACTCTCTAATTATATGTTGTCAATTTGATATGGTCCTGTTAATCTAGTTGTAACCGCATGCCTTACTTAATTTTGACTTGATAATTCTGAAAACCTAACTTGGGTAAGCATTAATTCTATAACTAGCAAAGCTTTAACAATCTTATATTAAAATCTCCAAGCAGTTCTTGTTCCATGCATACGTTTCACATCAACTTTAAATAGGAATGACCTTAAATAAACAGAGAATTGATGGCTTGTAATTAAGCATTCAAGTGTCGTCACCAAATAATTAGGCTATAAAATTTTGATTGTTGCCCCTTGCTTTTAACAATGCAGTACTTCTTAAAAGCACAGTTCCGATTCAGCAAAGACCAGTTTGCTGACCTAATGCTCATTAGCGGGGTTGCTGGGGCTATTTCACAGGTACTATACCAAAATCATTCTTCAATTAGCTTAACTGTGCCTATAAATCTTCATCTATTATTTTTTAAGTCTGATTTGCCTACTTGAGTGTCTATTTATGCATGCCTAAATGTATAAATGCGCTCATAAGAGTACATACAAACCAGTATGCATAAATAAAAAATTTTATTTGCATGTGAAATATGTTTTTTATGGCTAAAATTGTCTCGATGCGCAGCTGCTTCTTATGCCTACCTTAGCACCTGCTATTGGAGAAGAAATACTTCTTAGTGTTGGTCTCTTCGCAAGTTTTGCAAATGTAACCTTTTCTTCTCGTTCCATATTCTCTTCCTCTTTAACATAATTCTGTTTGTTTGTCTTTTTTTTTTTTTCTTTCTTAATTTTCTTTTTGAAGTTTTCCTCGATATTATGCAGGTTTTACTCACCAGTATTGCATGGTCATCCTGGGTACTTCCAAGCACTCCTATTATTATCTGCACCTTCAAAGACTAAATGCATACTTTTCTTTTGAGCATTGTTACCTACATTTATGCGGGCCGGCCATTTAGTTTTAAGCACTATTTGTAATGATATAATGGCCAAAAACTTCTTATGATCAGTCTATGCATTAATTATATTGTCAAGCGAGCACCATTTTCTGATCCTCTAACTCCTTCAAAATTTCATTGTTTGATACAGTAGCTTTATTTCCTTAATCCGCACTGTTACAGGGTCGTTTTAAGCTGCTAAGACAGAGTAACCCTGCCATTTTTTGTTCGATTTTTAGGAGTGCATCATGTTCTCAACATTGCTCGTCATCATCATTAACCTTTTCTCTATTAATTAAGTTTTAGCTTTATGAACCCTTACTTGAATTTGTTTCTTTTTCAGAATTGTATGTGGATTCAACTTTAATTTACACGCATCATTTTTTCACAACTTTAGATCCAAGTTAAGCTCTTTTGTGTCCTCATAAAAAACTTGGAAATTGACATGCAGGTTCCATATTTTGCTTCAACCTTTGTGGTTTTGAGTGTGTTCCTTCACCCATGTGTAAGTATTCTCATGCGCCGCCCAGCTTACCCAATAATTAATCCCATGTCTTTTTCGCTCTCCCTCTAGCTCCTATCCTTCTTATTGCCACCTTTAATGCTAAACATATTTGATTTTATGTGCAGCTAAGAACCATCGTGTCAAAAAGGGTTGGGCCTAATGACCAGGTACTAGCTTTTAGTAGTCAATTTATTTACTCGTCAGTTTACTTGATTCTGCATGCTTATAGTTTTATTACTGTTGAAAAATTTTATATTTCGTTATTCAAATTACGTATATCTGTGTATTTAAGATATATCCCTACTTTTAATGCTTACCGGGATATTGAATATAATGAGTAGGAGCGGTATGCATGGTTGGAACAGAAAGCAGAGGTAGCATTGGTAGGGCTATGCAGTCTTTTTTTGTAGATTGAAAAAAGGAAATGATTCAAACTTGCTCCACAGATATTTAGCTAAATTTGAATTAAATGGTTATTGAATATTTTTGTTGCGTCCTGGAACATTTGTGACGGTAGAGAGATGAGGGTTTAATGGCTTAGCTTTGAACGAAGATCCAACACACATACAGATAAAGAGAGAGATGTGTGAGAGCCATAAGAGACACTAAGATTTAACGTGGAAAATCCTGAAAAGAGGAAAAATCATAGGGTCTGACCCAGTTTAAATGATTCCACTAGTGTTTATAGTCGAATACAAATGATGCCCTTCCGCGGGAGGAAGATATTGGCTCAATGCATCATATATAGCACATTACATAGTTAGGATTGGAAGAATTCAATGATAAGGGAGTCATTCTCAAGAGAACGATGGCAGGGCTATAATTGGGCAATAGAGATCAGAAGAATCGTAGTTGTGTTGCACTACATGGTCTATATTGGAAAAATTATATATGTATTTCATTTTAACTATTTAACTAGAGCTTACCAATGAACATCGGAAAGAAACATGATTGCATTTTTGTCTTATCCGGAGCCTCATGTCATAGGATCTTTATTATTTTCTGAAAACATGTAAAACCACAAATTGAGCACATAGTCCATCAAGTAACTAAAATCCTACAACTGAAATCAATGTGAGATAAATGAGAATAATATGCTATAACTCATATAAAAAAATATATGCATTAATGTATATATTGATTATTTGTATCAATTTATCATTATATACTTCATCACATCTTAATCCATTACATTATTTGTCACAGGATTAGTAACAATCAACAGTAATAATGTCAGTAACAATATTAGTATCATGATCAATAAAGTTAAATATTGTTAATGACAGTAAATAATATTAGTATCAGTTACATATCACTACAGTGTTCGTAGTAATGTCAATATAAGTATTCAGATATTCAATGAGTGTATCTTAAGGCTTTTTTATTCCTATATTTATAACTCTCAATCAGTCGACCCTTATAACTCCCAAATAATGTACTATTTTTAACTTTCCTTGAATCACGTGAATTAGTCGTCTTGACTGCTACCAATCAATCTTCAACTCCTTATGACTCCCAATTAGTGAATCATGTGAATCAGTAGGGTATCACGTGAAGTTATAATATCATATATCTAATATCATTTAGTATTTCATTTAAAATGTAATAAAATAATATCAAATCATTTAGAATGATCAAATTTATAATATATCAAAACTTGCACGGTGAATACTTATGAAATCAAGAGATAATGCATTTTTGACAGATTTAGGAGAGAAAAAATCCGTAGAAATCATAATCATTGAATTAGAAGTAAGAGATTAGTTACTTATAATGAATATAATAAAATATGTAAGAGGAATGACTAATAAATATGATCCAAGTATATTTCTTTCTCCTCTTTTTTCTTCCTCTCTTTTAATTTCTTCTTGGACAAGCAATCAAGACAGAGAATCGATGAGGTGAGATATATATATATAGTTCATGGCCTAACACCACAGCGCTCATTAGATCAGCATCAAAGCGCTCTATTTTTGAATTTCATATTTTTCAAGAAAATTTATTTCACATATTTGAGTTATTACAAGTCAGTGGGTGAAGGAGATCGGAGGGACAGTAGTCAACGGGCGATAGAGGTTGGAGAGATTGTAGTCGATAAGCGATAGTGGTCGGAGGGACCATTGTCGGCGGGAGATGGTAGTCGAAGGGATCATAGTTGGCGAGCGACGGTGGTCAAAGGGACTGTAGTCGGCGGGCGACGATTGTCGGAGTGGTGTGTCGATGGTTCCTCGTCAAAGGTCTGGCAATGGTTCCGGCGGCAGTCAGCGATCGGGTGGAAGTTTGGCGATCAAGCGGTGTTTCGGCGACGGTTGACGGAGGTTTGCTAGTGGTGGTGTCTGAGTGGAGCTCTAAATCCTTGAAGCCTCAAAGCTCTCTCCAATCTCCAACCAAATGTCCATGCTCCAAGCCCCCTTTCATGTTGGAAGTGGGGGTCTATTTATAGATTTTTTAGAGCAGCATGTCCCGTAAAATATGGAGAAGATCTGGGGCATTTGGATGCTCCATTGGATGGCCCATATTGATCCTAGAGCATTAATCTTGCATTTAAGTGTCATAATGATGTCGGAATTAAGTGATCATAGGCTCATTAGGTTCATCTCATCGAGCCACTTGATTTGACTGTAAGCATGATATACTTGGATATTGTTTGGTCATCTAATTTATGCTTTGAACATTCCAAATGTGCTTCGGTCCCTTGATTTGGGCCCATTTGAGCTCGGATTGGACCGATTTTGGTATTTTTGGGTTCATCTCTTCAAGATGTTCAGTTTGATTATAAGCTTAATGAAATTGGAGCTTGGATGGCCCCAAATTTAACTTTGGAAGTTTCCAACTTCAATATGCCTCGAGCTTCATGTTCGTCAAGGTCATTTTTGATGACGTATCACTTTTATTCAGGAATGTAATTTGAAGCAAGGCTAGTAATTTGATCCCAAACAATTTGGCTCGATTCCACGTTCATGAACTTAAAGTTCTAAACATACAACTTTTTCCGCAAAACAATTATTCAAGGAAGTGTATGTATTAGACATTGAACTATTGAAGCTACATCTGGATTAAACCATAAGCACCATAATATCAAATGTTTGAGATTTGGGACTAAAAACAAAAAAAAATAATAAAAAAGTAATTAATTTGTCTTGAGCCTTAATTTTTATGAAGCTGGCCTATTCTCAATCCTCCTATGAACCCGTTAAAATCACTTCCGTTATACAATATTTGTTTCATTGTTATTCAAAACTTTTTTATCTCAAGGAATCCCATCATATTAAGTACTATTTTTCATTAAATAACATTTTTAAATGCACGTTCAAATCTTGTAACTGCTTCACATGAAGAGCTATGGTTAATCCCATCATATAAGCTTATTCCATTTTATTGTTCCTACTTATCTTGAAAACCTACAACGTTCATCTTAATCCAGGGCTTGGCACAAGGGGGTATCACAGGAATAAGCTCAATTGCTAACATAATATCTCCCATGCTTTTTACTCCCCTGACAGGTAACCATACGGTTATGCCTACAGAACTACATTTGGCTCTTCAGAATGGCTGTAAACTAATACTAAATTGTTCGCTCTTATTAGCTTTGTTCCTCTCGGAAAATGCTCCATTTGACTTCAAGGGATTCAGCCTTATGTGCTGTGGATTTGCTCATGTATGTTTTTCAGATATTCTCAATTTCTCCTAATACATTTCCTGTTTCTATTGACATTATTATCATTTTTCTCATGCAGCTTACAGCTTTCTTCCTAAGTGCTACCATGATTTCTGCTATTCGATCATCGAAACAGAATTTTAGCAATGGCGAAACTACAGCAGTATAGCTTTAAAAGAAATTGGAAAATCGCTATTGGCACAAATCTTGTTCTATACTACCACCCTTGTATAGAAGATGAAAGGCCTGCTCAACTAAGAAGTTTTTCAAGTTCTAGTTTTAGAAACCAGAAGGCACTATGAGAACAGGTCAACTTTCATGAATCTAATTTTCATACTGTGAATCCTGTGGGTAAGCAGTGGTTGTCTGTGTTAAGCTTGTTATTTTTTAGTTTTGAGGTATGTTAAATAATTATATTGAGACGAATTTTAGTGTAATAGTTGGAATTTTATTAAATAATAATAGCTGCTTCATTTTTTTTTTTCTGTTTTTTTCTGTACTAATTTGTCTTACTCTAATGATGTCTTTAATTGATAATATTATGTAGTTATTGTGTTTCTACCATTTATATTGGTTAAAATTATTGATAGGCACTCTGATTCGCTCATGGATGACGTTCGGTATCCGCACAGAATAATTTTTTTCAAAATCGGAGAAAAGTTGGATGAGGATGATTTTCTGATCAAAATAAATGTAAGAATTTTACAGCAGTATTTGCCCTAGAAAGCGGTGTACCTTGTGGATGAGAAACTTTCTCATACTGAAAGTCCAGCATGAAATGTGAACATAAGGTTGAAGAAGATATAAAGATTTGGGGTAATATGGGGTATAATTGACCCTAGCTGATTCGAGCTCTTGTTAACGAGTCGAACTTTTCAAGCCATGAGTTCGACCTCGAGCCTATACTCGAACTTATATATTAAATGAGCTCAAGCTTGAGCTCAACCGGACTCAACTTGAAAGCTTGTTAAACTGCTCAATTAACTTAAAATATATTTAAAAATTAATTTAAATTAATATTATATAATATATTCTAACATTTTTAAATTAATTCTTAATATTGAAAGTTCTAAAATAAAATTTTAAAATTTTAATTTAAAATTAAGAAATTGAGCTTGACAATCGAGTAAAGCTCGAGCTTTCCAAACAAGCTGAAGCAATCAAGCCAAACACAAGCTTAAAATTTTTTTAATGAGTTGAGCTCGAGGTCAATAAGAGCTCAGTAGGTGCTAAACAAACTTAGCTCGATTAAGTAGACACTTGACATGTTTACACCCCAAAATTAGATAAATAATATATGCCATTTTTCATAACTTTTGCGCATTTAAAAATTAAAAAATTGAGAATTTGATTAAATTTTAAAATTAAAGCCGATAATTTATTTTTAATATTTGGATAGATGAATGGAGGTTAAAACATTTTTTTAAATAATTAAGATTTAAGTATTACATAAGAAATTTCTCCAAAAAGAAAAATGAAATGGACAAGTTCTATTTTAAAAATGAAAATTTCTTCCGATTTAAAGAGATCGATTAGTAATATTTTTTGTAGCGACTCAATAAATCTAGATGTTTTCATTTTTTAGTATTAATTTGAAGTAAAATGAAATCACAATTTTTTTTTAGAGAAATCCTATCATCACAGAGCAATTATCATTTATTCTGAATATGATGGAATAGCTCGTCAACCTCATCAAACTAACTTTTGTCACCGCACCGCTAGAACTTGCCTGCAACTCGTGACCCAACCCGCCCTCACCTTTAGTCAACCATGGAGGTCGGAGAAGCCATCGTCAAATGATTGTGGTAGGAGGGATCGTTGTCAGCGGGTAATGGAGGTCGGAGGGGTCGTAGTTAACTGGTGAGTGAGGTCGTAGGGACTGTAGTCGACGAGCCACAATCGTTAAAGGGATCGTAATCTACAGGCATCAAATTCATATTTGATCAAGATAATTTTTGGGGATGTATCAATAACCGCTATAAGTAATTCTTGGAATACCACCTCCCAACCCAAAGTATATGCCTAAGATTAAAAAAAGTAAAATAATTTATATTTACTTCGCAAATAATGAAGTTTAAAAAAATAAAATCCAAATTTTATTTTAAAAAAATAGTTCAAATAAATTGATTTTATTTTAAATATTTATCAGTAATTCCCGGACTACCACCCTCCAAGCTCAGCTGAATTTTTTATTTCAAATATATTCAACTAATTTTTAAATATTTTCAGTCAAACAGCGCCAGTATCCAACGTAGTCAAGATACACTGACGAGGAAGATACGGGCTGCAGAGATTAGCTCTCGGGCCAATCACGGCGCGCGACGCCCGTAGAATGAGACGCGGACAGCTGCGTCGGCAGCCCACCACATGAGTGCTCACATCAATCCTAGAAGCCACACAACTCTTATCCTTACCGCTATCCACATTCGAATCAACGAGTGGTCTCCTGTCAACGAGTGCTCTCCTGCTGCATTCTTCGCATTTCCATCGATCTCCAAGGGAGACAAAAAAGGAGAGATTGATAATCGATGATCTCTGAGAGAGTTGTGTGAGATTTGAGGGTGTGCTCAATTTGAAGCCCTAATCGTGAAACTCACTACTATCTTAAACCTCAGTTCAATGGCCTCAGCCAGCGCCACGGCCACTCCAGCCCTCGCCTCATCCCCCACGGCTTCCCGCCAGCTAGTGGCAACGGCGACCCAGCACTCTTCCGGCCTCCCATCGCTTCCACTTCCGCGTCAATCCTCGTCACCCGCTCTTCATTTTCAGGGCCGCAAGCCATGGAAGTTGGCTTCTTACTGTAAGCCGCTTTCTCGAATGTTATTTTGAAACAAAATGTTCCTTTTAGAATTATTGCGCCGAACCATTTGCCCTGAGTGCCTGAATATTGGGCATAAGTTGATTTGCAGTAGGAACCCGTTACTGAAACTGTAATCCTTAACTCAAGCAGGTTGTTGATTTTTCTATAATATTTTCTTTACTTTATTAGTAGTATTGATTTATGATTAGTCAGGCTCTATTTCATGTATATATATAAAGAGTTTGTTTTTTCTTATTAACATTTCTGAAGATTATTGGCTATTATGGTTGATATTCTTGATTATAAGATTTCATGTGTGTGTGTGGTTCATGTACAAAATTTGGGCTATGTACCACTGATCCTACGATTGGCGACTTATTTAATCATGCTAGGATGGTGAGAAAAACCCCAAAGGCACTGCAACTTTGTAAGGCCTGTTATCTATTACCGTGAGAATTGTTTTGCTACTCATTAAGAGATGAAAAGTGTGTTAAAGATTTATTGAAATTTATTAAGAACATATATGTTGGAACATTATCTAGCTTTCCTATTAGTTGTAGATTGGTTATTGTTGCGTCCTAGAATATTCGTAGTAGTAGAGAGTGATATAGTTTAACGTCTTAACTTTGTGTGAAGATCCAACGCACAAACATATAAGAGAGTATAATTATAGCGTTTATAAGAGAAACCATATTTTTTATGTGAAATCCCCGGAAAAGGAGAAAAATCATGGGGTCTGGCCCAGTTTTAATGAATCCACTAATGTTTGCAATTGATTACAAATGATGCCCTATCTTAGGAGGAAGGTTTTGACTTGATGCAGCAAATATACATCATATAGAGTGCATTATATGTTGAGAGTTGGAAGAATCAGTTTTGATATGTTCGTTTGGGTGGCAGGATCGGAGTCGGCAAGCGAGATTTAGGTCGGAAGGACCGTAGTTGGGTGACGGAGGTCGAAAAAACCGTAGTCAGGTGACGGTGGTCGGAATGACCGTAATTGGCGGGCAACGATTCAGAAAGGATCATAGTTGGTGATGGTGGTTGGAAGGACCGTAGTCAAAAGACGATGGAGGTCAGGAGGATCGTAGTCGGCGGGAGACGGAGGTCAGAAGGATCATAGTTGGCTATGGTGGTTGGAAGGAACATAGTCGGCAGGCGATGGGGGTCGGAAGGACCGTAGTTGGCGGGCGATGGTGGTCGGAAGGATAGTATATATATGCGTGCACAAAATTGTTTTTGAGCCTGATTGAAATTATGTGATTTTGAGTTGACTTCAAGCAAATTTTATTTGATAATATTTAATTGGATGCATCTCAAATTCCAAGAGGGTGGTATGAATAGGATTGGGAGTGGTTGTCAATGGATTGGACAAGGAGCAATTCTTGGCGGGCTTCTTGGATGGCAAGTTTTTAGTTGATAATAAGGGGTAAGAATGAGCTAAATTTCACATCAAAAGTGTCAAATTTAACGGGCATATTTTGATGTAACAAGTAGAGTTTCTTTGAAAAGTTCACAATCAAACAAGCTCATGTATGAACATTGTAGGATAACTAACCTACTGGGAAATTGCATTAAGAAGAGTGCATTAAAATGAGTAAAATCATGAGGTTCATCCTTGTATGGAATAAGTTATGTCTAAAAGACAATATCTCATATAATATGAGTTGAGCTATTACGATTGATATCATTGCTAGATATCTTTTGGTTCAATGTGTAGTTTAGAAATGAAACAAGCATATGTTGGTGGGTCTATGACATCTCGAATCTGAAAAGGGCAATTTGAAGAGGCTGAGATGTAATTGTTGAGGTGGATGGCACAGACAAAGTGCAGCTATTAGCAGACTTCTAAGAGAAAAATGAAAAAAGGGAGGCAAAAATCAAATCTCACATCATGAAGAGAAGAACAAATATTTGGCTATATAAGTAAAGAATTAAACATAAATATGAGTAACTTTTTGTAGCAAGTGGAGTTTTTATGAGAATTAAACCGAAATATGAGTGCTTTTTGAGGAAATCAGGGATAATGAAGCTTGGTGTGGTTGGCATAAGAATGATAAGGTAGATGTGTGGCATAATAATGAATAATGGATTAAAAAATGATTATATGAGAAGAACTATGAGAGTAGCGCCTATTTAAACTAAGGTACTATAAAACATTCTATGTTGTTTGGCATGTACAATGAGGGCAGAAGATGCACTAATAAGATAGAAAGACAAAATTTAATGCATAAGAATTAGGAATGAAATGGGCAGGCAAAACGTAACTTGAATAAAAGTTATGCCAAGAAATTGTATAAACTAGATTTAACAACTCAAACAACACTCATCATAAATGGAGAATAAAAATTCATAAAGCCAACCCTAAATTGTTGGGATGTGGCTAATGGTGATGTTGATGAAACTTTGTAGAATTATAGTTCCTGCACATTCAGGCTACAAGTTAGCATGATATTCATATTTTCCACTTCAGATTTATTTGTGACATTATATAGCTGCTTGAATCATAAACTTGATGGTGCTGTTGTGTTTCTTTCTATGAAGGCCCAATCACTTCGAACGTGCTTGGTTGAAAATTAACCTGAAACAGGTAAAAACTCTTTAGTTTAGTGTAATAAACTAATCTGGAATGAAACAGAAAAAAATGCTTAGAAGTAGGATGTTATGAGTCATATACTTGTTTGGCTGTTGTGTATTAGCAATTTTGCATTTATGTTGTGTATTTGGAATTTTGCTTGTATTGGTGAAGCTAAAGAAATTGATCTGACAATACAAACGGAATAACATTAAATTATGCCTTGTATCTGCATTTTGAGCAACCCCTTAAGTAGCACATTGACCAGGTTTTAGATTGATTTGTGCTACTAAATGTTAAAGCAGGTTGAAGTTATCCACTTTGTAGTTGAGTAGTTTGAGCTGAGTACAAGTTTTTATTCCGTTTTTTTTAATCAAATAATTCTGAGTCTCAAAATAATTGCAACCTTCTAAGTCCATTTCCTTGCCAACTTAGATCATAGAATTGCAGGGAATGTTGTTGCCATGGCTACAGGAGAAGCACCGGCTGAAGTTGCCACTGAACTTCCAGAAATTGTTAAGACCATACAAGAAGCGGTCTGTTTTATACTTTCATACTTGTTTCTGACTGAAAAGTAATGGATGCGTGTCAGCGTGAATGTTTAAATTGGCATCTTTTGGTAGGCAGTGGGACAAACTTGAAGACAAATATGCTGTGACTTCAATTGCATTTTTTACTCTACTTACTCTTTATGGTTCTGCTGGAATGATCTCGGTAAGTATAACTAGTCCTCCTCAATTGATAGAATGGTCGTAGAAGGCCAAGATTTTCTAGTTTGTTTACTGTGAAAACTTAAACTTGCATTCTATGTAGGCCATTGATAGGCTTCCTCTACTTCCTGGTCTGTTCGAACTAGTCGGAATTGGATACACTGGGGTATGTCCTGTGACTTTTGCTGGAACTTTACTATTATTGTAGATGGCAGGGCCATAGAAAATGAATTGCTGATTATAACATTATGTTGATGATTTATTCTTGAAACTTTAAACAGGTCAATTAATTTGTTGGAGTTTTTTGTTTCAATATCAACTCAATGTTATACCATATTATTAAGAGATGTTAGATATTTGATTTGTTGATATCTTTAAATAACAAATTTATAAATGTTGATTTTATTTTAATTCAATGACATCTAGATATTGGTCAAAATTAGCCAACTTTGAATCAAGCACAATATTTAATAGATAACAACTAACATCTTAATAATACTAAGATATAAACAGGGGTGGAACCAGCCTTAATTTTAGGTTTTTTTTGGGTTGCAGACTTATAAATAACTGTTGTGGGGGTCCAAGGGGGTAGCTCTCCTTTGTGGGGTTCGACATTCCCGATTAGGTTGCGGGGTCAAGGAATAGCGCCCATGTGGAAGTTTCTGGGAGCGCGTTGCCCCTGGAACAAATTTGGTTGTAAGGATATTTTTGGAATTCAAATTAATAAATAAAATGTTGAATTCTCTTTACTATTTGCTGGGGGCAATAGCTTAAAAATTCTTGTAATAAAGACTACAAAATAAAAAAGAGGGAGACAAATTTGTTCTAGCACTTTGAATGGTATTAGTATGTTGGCATAAATTGAATTGGGTACATGTCCTGCTAAACTAATTCGTATCAATTTACTTTTTTCTTCATACAGTGGTTTGCATATCGCAACATTGTTTTCAAGCCTGACAGGTACACCTCATTGACAACGTTCATCCCAGAATTCTGTTTGCGAAAATCGAGAACGCCTATAACCTTATAATTGAAATTAATATCTGCTATTGCACTTTCAGGGAAGCTTTGATTGAAAAAATAAAGAGCATCTACAGCGATGTAATTGGAAGCAGCTAAAGGGGTCTTTCTTCCATTAAATCAATTTTCAGAACTTGAGAGCCTGTTTGGTCGTTACAAATTCTAGCTTGATGAAGGATCTGTTTTCAGAATTGGTAATCTGTACGACTGTACCCTTCCTGCTTTGACAGATATGCATTGAAGCTTTCATATGTCAATTAAGTATTTCAAGAGAATCATTGTAAATAAGAGATACATTTTCCCTGTTCATGCAAGGCATTAGTTTTGCAAACTAAAGTAGTTTCCAGCTTAAACAAAAAAATGAATCAAATTGTGGTCCGAATCAATTTTAAATTCTTAAATTTATTTTGATACATGAGTAATCAATCATACTCAATCAAATTATGATCAAATTTTGATTTGAATATTTTCACCCAATGATAAAAAGGCTAAACATGGAGGATTATCTTTGAGTTCCTTGCAATTGAGAGCCCTATCAAGTCCATTATTCCACATTGCTATTGTTGGGAAGAACATTGGGTTTTTTGGAGTGTTGCTGGGGTTTTTTGCCTTTGTTTTCCCTAGGAGGCTTGCTAGGTAAGGATGGGTTGCAGGAGAATGACTCGAGTAGCCGTTTCAGAATAGAGAATTAAAAAAGGGTTTTTACTTATTAATAAAGGCTTCGTTTGGGACGGCTTTTTTCCTGCTTTTCAAAGCAGCTTTCAAATACAAAAATTAAAACTTTTGTACTAAAAACTGCTTTAAGAAGCAGTAACAAAGCCGTCCCAAATAAAGCTAAAGTTAGTATTTGTGTGGGTACTTTAGTGGTCGAGAAATTGAGGTTAGGAATGGCTTCGATGAAAAGGCTTGTAGGGGCATTCGAGTTATAGTATTGTGTGGAAGTTTTATATGTGGAGGTTTGCGTAGGGTTTCGATTGAGGTTTGACTTTAGAGATGTTGTGGCTTTCTATTTCTTCGGCTATGAAAAGGAGGAATATGAAGATCGTCCAATGAATTTTTATAATGGGGGAGATAAAACAAATGGGGCACACCCAAAGCACCAATTATATTTGACTTTTAGAGTTTGCTATTTGCCATAGGTAGTGATGATGATTCCGTCAAGTAAAGGGTAGTTATTCTCAATTTGAACACATACCTTGGTGAAGATAAGTCGAGTTTTGTTTGTAGTGAGGGTGTCGACAATAATCGAGTAGCCAATGATGTTGAAAACTTCAAAATTTCCATCAGAGTTCAAACATAGTGAGGAAGATTGTAGATTTTGATCCATAAGTGTATTGAAGAGAATACTTCTCTTCTTAGGTGAAAATCAAAAGAGCATTTTTGTATGATGAATGACTTGTCAAAGAAGAACCAAAGGTTTACATATCAAACCATTTCATAATCCTCCATACATGAATATTTAAATAAAAAAAAATCTTCATTGAGAGAAAGAAGATTCATGGTACCTTTAAAGGCCAAGATTTATTGAAGGAAGTCAAGAAAGTCTTATAGTATAGCTGTAATTGAATCAGAGAATAGCCCACCAAAGAGAGCTCCCTATCTTTAGAGCCCTGGATGATATCATCATTTGAGAAATGGATAATATTTCCCTAATTTGAAGCATAAATGACTTGAAAAAAATTTTTAGTGGTGGTAATGTACAAAGGTATGACTAACTTGACTAATCACCTGGTTTTGCTTGTGAATGTCTTATAGTTGTATAATATTTAAGATACTACCATCTGTAAAATGTTTGTCACCATCTTCATATATTATGTGTGAAGGTGGTTCAACAACATGTCCATCTTAGGCATATTCTCGTTTGATGTGTTATTTTATCTATTGCTACCCTAAGTCTCTACATCATAGATATTATTAAAGATCTCTTAGTGTTTCTTTTGTATTGTGTTGAATAAAAGGGGTGATTTGAAAGATTATATGATGATGTTTGGGAAGTGAGATAATGGCAATGATATTTCCCTCACCAATATTGTTTTCTTATTGGGGCTTAAACATGAAAATTTCAAGTTCTCCATAGCTATTAGTCCTTTTAAAAGGATATATAATTTACTCTAAAAAGTTATGAAGTTCATCAATAAAGAGTAATTTTTACAAGAATATCAACATTGCTATTGTTGGAAGAGAAACAATAATAACAATAATAATAATTGTTTTTCTTAGCCGAAGAAGAAACTTCTGATGACTTACTTTTCCAATCATGGGAGTTAGTTTAAAAGCAAACTACGTGGCTACCTTATGAGTCATCATCTATTTATATCTCCTATAAGATATCTTGATGATAATATTCCTCCATGAAATTGGCTTCTTGCAATAACTATGGAGGAACTTAAAAAAACGTAGATAATGGTCAATGTTAAGAAAAAATGTGATAGAAGGTGATGACAAGCCCAAGTTTTGCCTCTATCCAAACAACCATACACAACAACAAGGACTACATAGTTCTCAAGTCTTTGCTTGAGAAGTATATAAAGGATGTGACTTGAATCGATGGTTCTTAGGTTTTATGGTTGATCATTGGTCGGGTTTTTTAGTGAGAACATCTTCCACTAGAGGGGCATCAACTTAGAGTTTGCCTAGTGGAATAATGAAGACCATGAAATCTTCATAAGATATGATTAGGATGTCCATAAATAATGATTTGATGGTGTCACATAAAGAGGTATTTTAACATTGGTTACTAAGCAAGTATATATATATTTATGTATCTAAGTAGAAGATTGCTAAACTTATAAATTAACAAAACTTTTATATAAGATATTTATAAGATGTGATTTAGATATCATATTTACTATATAGATTGAATTTATTTTTCAAAGATATAGTGAAACTATTTTTTTGTGTGTTATGATATCTTTTGTTGATTATAAAAATGTTACAAACTCCTATAATTATTTTATATCTTCAGCAAGTACCTTTTTGCCCTTATAAATAGAGTCGTAGAATGTCGGCCCGCAACCATGATCAAGTATATCTAAGAGAAGAGGGAAAAAGAAAGTGAGGGGTTGCTAATCGAGAAATTTTCTTAACTTCTAATGTCTCTCTTAATTTTATCAAGGAAATTTTCTAATTGGGAGAAATGTTAAGAGATCAATTAAGGCTTCCTTTTGGACGGATTTCCCGCTGCTTCTTAAAAAAGCTTTTAAGTACAAAAATTTTAGAAAGCTGCCTCAAGAAGCAATAAGAAAATCGTCTCAAACCAAGCCTAAATCTTAAATGATATATTAGTATTATATAAACGAACCTATGTGTAATCAACGAAGAAAAAAGTGTACGAATATGCTGCATGTTTTTTTAAATGATGAATTTTAAAGCCTTTAAATTTATGTTGAGATTAGTGTTGTATTAATTTCGATACAAATTCAAGAGTTTTAAAGCTGATGCAAAATATATCATGATATTCTTACCTAAATTTTCCTGCAATTAATTACTAAAGAGAGGTGAATCTAATGCTATTTTTAGCCCATAGCCAAGCTCATTTTTTAGCTCAATATGTATTGAATGAATCAATGAATTGAGTGATTTGTACATCATCCATATATTGTGTTGTTAGGGATGAATTTGGTGTAAACCTAATTTAAGTTTGGAAAGCAATTCTCATTACATAATCATGATTTGATTATCCATTAACTTTGATTGAATAATTTATTTTTAGAAAATATTATGCCAATATTTATTTTATTGCATTTAAATGATTAATTTAGATTAAGGTTTTGTTTGTGATAGTTTTATTGCTACTTTTTAAAGCAATTTTCTAGTACAAAAGTTTTTTGAAATAAACAAAAATAATGATCTAAAGCTGTCCCAAATGAAGCCTAAAACTTAGCTTTCGTTTGAGACGGTTTTTTCACTACTTTTTGAAGCAATTTTTTAGTTAAAAAATTAAATATTTGAATTAAAAAATTACTTAAAAAAGCAGTAAAAAAAACCGTCCCAAATGAAGCCTTAGTTTGAAATAATTTTCTTACTATTTTTTATTGTAAATTTTCAGTAAATTTTTTTTTGAAAGTAATAAAAAAAATAGTGGCAAAACATTGTCCTCCATGAAGCCTAAATAACAGTAGCACTTCACGCATATACACTATGAAAATGATAAAAGTAAATGCATAAATAAGAACAATAGAATCAACGGTACTTGATCAAGATTGGTCCACATTCATGAAACAATTGATTCGTTTTGGACGACTTTCTTAAAAAGAAGCATGAAGGAAGCCGTTTTTAAGAAAGCCGTTCCAAACGAAGTCAAAGAGGCATAACTAATTCTACTAAAAGAACACGATTTAACAAAAATAGATAATATCAAACACTTTTTCTCGCAAAATTGGTAAGGAGATGTGGAGAAATTCTCATCAAATTAGAATAATCTTTCTCTAAAAGAAAATCAAAGAAGAGAAAATATCCTTACAAGATCTCAGAAATAGAAAAAAAAAATATTTTTCGAGTTTTTATTTCTTTCCAAACAGGCTAGACACCCTCTTGCTTGTTCAACAAAACCTCATTAAACATTGTGCTTTGAAGAGTAATTTAAAACACAGAGAATGAGTAAGCTCAATAGCAAAGCCAAAGCCTTACAAGACATGTCAGATCCAAATAATTTATATACTTTTCAGAATTTGAGCAAAGTCGGAAGAAGGAAAAATTATTACGTGCGGTGTCCGATAAATTCAGAGGTCAATTCAGATACATCACGTCAACCGATGCATGGTACACTGATGATGTGACGCGTTCGGACACCGCACAGAATAATCACTCATGGAGAAGTGATAGCTCGTGGTGTTTCCACTTAACACCATTGAATTGAAATCTGTAATCTTTAAAAACTGTTCGATGAATTAAAAAAAGACTCAAATTTTAGCTCTTTTCTTGGCATTCTGGTTTAGTGAAGAATGTTATTTCTGGTGGAAGATGATCTTTACCTGATTCTTTAAATAATTTTGTTTCTTTAAATGTTGTTAATATTCCAATTCAAGATTCTTCTCGGTCTTGTATTGCTTGGAATGGGGTGATGTTTCCTAATTTTAAAATATTGCATTTTGATTTCTAAGATTAATTGGTGTTCTTATGTTTGGCAATTGGCATAGGAGGTTTGCGTTGCATTACTCTTGCTATGCCTGGATGACTGTTTTAAATGTATTTAAAACAACAATATTCTTCTCAAAAGGAATGCAAATATTTCTTTGATTTTTTTGTTATAATTCTATTGAATCTTGATACGT